TAAATGCAGAAACACCAGCATGCAAGCTGTAGCTTTTCACTCCGACATGTTCAGGCTCTGTTACTTCAACGTTCCCGTCTCAGAGGCAGATCAACACCGGCTCCGTAACGTTACTTCATTCAGCGCAGCCAGCCGCATATCGCCGCAGTACTCCCGGAAAAAGGGCAGTGTTACAGCAGCTATAGACAGACAGGGAGACAGCTTCACACAATATGCTGGAAACTCAGGTAAACCCCTATTGCAACGTTACAGTAATAGTTTTATCAGCTGCAGGTTGAGCTAATCCATGCTCATTACATGATAACATTACATTTACTGCACTTAGCCGACGTGTTACAGCGTTAGCTCACCTGCTGCTTTCAGTAACTATCTTTACTATCTGTGTATCTTTCACCAGAGGCTCAGCAATGAGAGCACAGTTAAATGTACTGGATGATAATGAAACGGTTAGTGAGCTGGACTGAATATTATAACAAGATTGTGTCACTCTTTAGAACAGTCAGACCGCAGTAAGGAACTTTAGGCTTGATTTATACTCCTGCGTAGGGTCTACGCCGTCCAATAGTATGAAGCTGCAGTACCGGAAGCTGCAGTTTCAGGACCCCCGCAATCCTGGGACCGCAGTTCTAAGACCCTAGTTCTTTTGCAACAGCGCCATCTAGTGGAGTGGTGGTGGTAATACACAGCATCACTGCCAACGTGCTAGCAGACATGGTTAACCGGTCGACATGTATATAATCAATAACTTAGGTTTAGGCACACACTCTGTGGTGGTTGTGGTAAGGGTAACTGGCTTCAGGGAGCTGTAAAGAGAAACATAGCTAGCCAGCCAGTCAGCTAGCTGGCAGTATTAAAGTAAACAAGGGTCCTGGAATTGCAGTTCCAGTCCTAGGATTGTGGTCCTGAAACTGCAGCCTCCGGTACTGCATCTACATGCTACTCACACCGTCACCTACGCCGTAGGCTACGCACGTAGCCAGACATTTATACTTGTGCGTCTGTGTGTCCGTCAATCTGCAATAACACCCCCAAACGCCAGTCGGCAGTAGTGCTACAGCGTCCACTGTGTTGACTTTTACCGGCCGAGCAGGCTAACTTCCGGTTTAGCGCTCCGCTAACGTGAATGCGGGTAAAATTGTAAACTGGTATAGCCTTTTCAAATGTTATCGACCGAATGGATCTCATTCTGATAGTGAATGCTCAGGTTGTGACGATCAAATATATCGATCCACTGTGTTATAGACGCCATTTTGGCCGCTAGTAAAAGTTACTTCAAAGTGCGGGCACTTCCTGTCGGCTCGGAGGCATTGCGAGGCTACTCAGCCGACCAATCACAGAGCTTACGGTCCATGTCGACGTGTAGTTACATATTTGAGGAGGTGCACGTCAGGCTACGTCGTAGGTGACGGCATAGGGTAGGGGACTACGCAGAGGCTACGCCGTCAATTTGACGGATTGTGTTGTATATTATGTGGGTCACGTTGGTTACATCGATAGAAAGGTGGAGAAGCTGTGTACCCGAGTATTGGTAAAACCACAATAAACCTAAACAAAACAAACAGCGGCAGGTCCGAGCTACTGTAACATTAGCTGGCTGCATCACTATAGGCTAACGTTAGTAAACAAATTGCTCCACATTTGCTTTTTACCATTATAACCTTTCTTGAAGGCTAAATCAACAGTGGTACACAGGATAGTAACATGGGTCTCGTTAGCTGGTGAAGCAATATGGAAAGCGACATAAGTTTGCACTGGATAACATCAGCAACTTCTCAACGTTAGCCTGCGTGCTAACGTGACTTTCTCTGTGTTTCTCCAGCTTTAATAATGCTCACTTTGTTCTTACTTGAAATCATCTGAATCTGTTTGGTCTCATGGGCTTCAGGACATAAACCTTTGTTGTTTTGTATCCTTACATTGAGTCTGTTTTGCTGGGAGCCGGTTGTTTTATGGTGTTAGTGGACTGCATGTCGTTAGCTGCTGTGTTGTCACTGTAGTCTGAGAGAGGCTTGGGAGCGCGCACAGGGCTGAATCTAACCCAGAGAGAATATAATGGCACTGAGATTTACTGAAATGAATGGCAGAACATTGAAATACAGTAGATACTGAAACTTATATACATTCCCTTCCAAAAGTATTTGAACAGTAAGGCAAATTCCTTTGTTTTTGTTGTTCACTGGAGACATTTGGGTTTAAGATCAAACGATGAGTATGAGACAAGAGTTCAGAATTTCAGCTCTCATTTCCTGGTATTCACATCTAGATGCATTAAACGACTTAGGTTTGTATTTGCACAGCATTCTAATGTGAGCAAAAGTAATGGAACAACTAATCTTAAAGAAAATAACATTTTGTATTTGGTGGCATAACCCTTGCTTGCAATAAATGCCTCAAGCCTGCGACCCATCGACATCACCAAACTGTTGCATTCTTAATTTGTGATGTTATTCCAGGCTTTTACCGCAACTTCTTTCAATTCTTGTTTGTTTTTCGGGGGGGGTGTTTCTCCCTTCAGTCTCCTCTTAAGGAGGTGAAATGTATGCTCTACTGGGTTAAGGTCAGGTGACTGACTTGGCCAGACTAAAATCACTTCCACTTTTTCCCCTGATGAAGTCCTTTGTTTTGTTGGTAGTGTGCTTTGGGTCATTGTCCTGCTGCATTTGTCCCGATTAGTTTCAATGCATTTCTCTGTAAATTGGCAGACAAAATGTTTCTGTACACTTCTGAATTCATTCTACTGCGACCATGATCAGTTACATCATCAATAAATATTAATGAGCCTGTTCCAGAAGCAGCCATGCACGCCCAAGTCATGACATTACCTCCACCATGCTTCACAGATGAGCTTGTATGCTTCGGATCATAAGCAGTTCCTTTCTTTCTCCACACTTTGACCTTTCCATCAATCTCAACAGTCCATAAGATTGTGGTCCAGAACTTTTGCGGCTCATCTCTGTACTTTTTTCTGACCTTCTGATTCTTCCTGCTGATGAGTGGTTTGCATCTTGTGGTGTGGCCTCTATATTTCTGCTCTGAGTCTTCTTCCAACAGTGGATTGTGATACCTTCACCCCTGCACTGTAGAGGTCGTTGGTGATGTCAATTACTTATGTTTTGGGGGTTTTCTTCAAAGCTCTCACCATATTTCTGTCATCAACTACTGTTGTTTTCCTTGGCCGACCTGTTCGACGTCTGTTGCTCAGTACACCAGTAGTTTCTTTCTTTTTCAAGACTTTCCAAATAGTTGTTCTTGCTTTGCCCAATGTTTGTCCAATAGCTCTGGTCGATTTTCCTTCTTTTTGCAGCTTGACAATGGCTTGCTTTTCACCCATAGACAGCTCTCTGGTCTTCATGTTGGTTTATCCTCTAACAGGAAATGCAGTCTTTATAGGTTTGAACCAAGGATCAAAACTTATACTAGTCATGCAGAGCTATTTAATGTTTGGACAATCAACCTAAAAGGCAACACCTGGGCAACAAGAAACATCTGTAAGTCACATGTTCCAATAGTTCTGCTCACTTGACAGATGGGTGGGTTCAAACAAAGGGTGGTATGTCCTGAGTTGTTGAACACATCTAGATGTGAATACCAGGAAATGAGAGCTGAAATTCTGAACTCTTGTCTCATACTCATCTTTTGATCTTAAACCCAAATGTCTTCAGTCAACAAAAAATCAAAGGAATTTGCCTTACCGTTCCAATACTTTTGGAGGGGACTGTAGTAGAGGTAGTACATAAGGCAAAACACTAGGTATTAATAAATAAAACGAAATAGCCATTATAAAAGGAACCTTCTCCACACTGTCCTTAACAGCTTTTTTCCTGTGTCCTTCATCTTATCTGTACAAAACAACTAATCTGTCTTGTACAACTTTACCAGCATCAATGTCACATTATAACATAAACCAATATCCATATTTTCATATTACCAGGCGCTACTGCTAATGGTCACACAATTTCTGTGCTATTTTGTTTAGAAAATGTCAGATGCACATGCACCTTTTCAAGCATACTATTAAGCTAATAATCACAAGCACAACAGCAGTGCTGCTGCAGAGGCCAGTAGACAGCAGCAGTGGAGGAAACAGCTTTTACCTGACAACAACAGTATCCATGCAGTTCCCCGGAGACTTCCTATTTTCAAAAAAACAGCATGTACGTGCATTAACCAAGGTGGCTGGGAAAATTTAGTTGAGCAATAGTGATCAGTATAAAGGTAAGTTTTCAAAATAGTGTTTAGAGTAAATTGTCATCATTTCAGCTGAAGGAGAAAAGCAATAACTTTTCCATCACACCGAAACGCATTCCTCCTCCTTCAGACTTGCTTGCTTATTTTAAAATAAAACTTAGTTATCTATTGGTTTTCAGGCTGAAAAATTTAGGACAATATTAGGTCTACTTCTCACAGAGAGGGATTCTCTGTCAAGGGCTAAGAGGAAAAACCAGTTTATCTTGATTTAACCCACTGAGACAGCCTAGTGTATTCTCTCAACAGAGTATCTAAAGTTTCACCAGAACTGTTTAGCCATTGTTCTGCAACTGATCTGGACCATCTATTGAATCTAGACTCTCCCTCTCACACCCTGGAATTTAAGTAGTCATCCTTTGTATCACTATGACTGCTCTAGTCCTAGCAGCTGGATCCATTCATCCTCTAGGATCAGATGGGGGCAGCATAGGAGGGTGGGGGGTAGGACTGAATGAGTGGAGCTCTTTTTGATGTCCTTTAATCCCTAGAATCAAAGCATAAACAAGCCCCTATATCAACAACCAAGCCTACTCTGCCTCTTCTGCTTTTCTACAGACTCCTGGATAGCAGAGTATCTGGTTCCGCAGAAGAGTCATTCACTTCTTAGAGTGATACAAACATAAAGCAACCCCCCACTACCCCCAAAAAAACCTTCAGACATATCCTTCCAATCAATCCACGCAGGCCCCTTCCCACAAAACAGGATACTTGACTGGTGTGGTGCCATCACTTAACTGCTCCTATAACATTACCATTTTGATGGGTTTATGTCGGAGGTCTGCATCAGTCACCGCTGCGTCCTGGTCTTTGGAGAGAATGCCTCTCTGAGTGAGGAGCTGCACCAGGGCGATGTTGTCTTTGGGCTGTGCCTCGCTGCCCCCCAGTAAAAGGCTGTAGGTGCGGCAGTAGAGCTCTGAGGACTGCAGGAGGCGCGTCACTGGTGGTTTGAGGTGCTCCTGCTCATACTGGTCACAATAGAAGGGGTCACGGAGCTCTGCAGGAACATTCTCTATCAAGAGACAAAACATACAGACACAGTTAGATAAGTTCCTGGAACAGCGGCGCTACTACAGAATTGGTTGCAAAACAATATGTTGTGGGAAATGTACTGCGTCAATTGAGCAGTCCCTTTATTGCTTCAAGTCAAAGATCATCTTGAGTATATTCTATTGTTGCTGGCTTGGGAACCAGCTTTCTGCCAGGTTCAGGGGCAGAAGACAGCTTGTGTATACCCTAAAACTATAATCATATGAGTGAGTAGAGCAGAGCAAGCATCAAGGTCAGTGGGGCATGATCAGCTCAGAGGTTGGCGTCTGCAGATTACATTCGTTCTTTCCACTTTTTAAACCCCTTGCTTCATTTTTGTCCAAAGCTTCAGTGAAAATTGCTCCGATCTTCAGATCTTCACAAAGATTATGTAAATTTCAGTAGCAGAAATCAGCAATCTGATCAAACCTTACCACCTAAAAACTAGCAAAAGCAAATGACATAACTTAAATTATGTTTCAACTCAGAGAATGTGTAGTAAGGCAATATTTAGCAATATCAGTGATTAGATGAAAGAATCTGTTCGGACTGGTCTTTCTGTAAATAAGTTCAATGCAAACATTACGCTAAAAACATAAAGTAGACACACACCCTGAGAAACTGGTTTATCTGCATACAAACCAAACCAGCAGCAATCTCAATAGCCTATGTCTCTTTGTAAACACACTGGAATAAGCATCTCATGGTTTTAAATGGCATCTGGGAAAAGCTGACATGCTGAAATATCAACAGTCTGCCTGAAAAGAAAGAAAGGAGAAACCTATGAGAGTCTAAGATTTTGCCTAAGAGACAAACAAAGGGGTTATTACAAGGGAGGTGTCACTATGTTGTTGTATCATCATAAAGTCGTTTCATGGATCCACTGACATCTGACAACAAAACAAAACGCCCAGTGTCAGAGGTTGGACAATGCCCTTGTTCTCTGTCTCTCACTCTCACTCCATGATGACTATAGTTGTCAGACAATATTGTCAGTCACACCACATGGTTCATTTTGTTGTAAATATGCTCCTATGTGACAAACTACAATGCTCACTTTAGTGTTGTAAACACTGACACACCAACCAAAATGTACACTTTAAGTCTTAATACAAAAATGTCTTTCCACAATGTGTTAAAAAAGAAAGAAAGAAAGAAAAACTTCCCAGAAGGCAAAGCAGGATGCAAATGCCACAACTCACTGAGATGAGAGAGCTCGATATGAGCATGATTTCCCTATGACAGAGTGTGGCCATGAATGATGACTGTGTGTCACATATGTCACAGAAACAAACTGAGTACATATTTGAGGTTATAAATCCATATACAATTCTCCAACACTATGAACCTGCACAACAAAAAATAGAAAACTAAAAAGGAATAGGAGGCAATGAAAAGAATGAGCCGTTGGCAGTCTTAAGCACAACTAAAGCCCAAGCAAAAAAGGAAGGTGATACATCCATAATGTTGACATTAATAGACCTCCAGGGAAATATTTCGATTAAAAAGCACAAGCCTGTGGTTTTGCATAAGCTAAAGTAACAGCCTTTCTGTCACTTTATCTACTGGTCTGAGTAAGATAGTATGGTGGGTGAGAGCAGGGAGATTGCTCTTCAAGTAAAGAGGCCCAAGCAACTATTTGCAATCTACTGGAATTTTGACCAAGAGACTTAATCCCTACCACCTGCAGGTGCTCTGTGCTGTAGCTGACCCTGACCTCTTACGTCCTTGAATAGAGAAGGAAAAAAAGCAAATGAAGATTTTCCCCACAGTCAACAACATTGTCATTATAATCATCCCACAAAAAGAAACTGGGAAAACCACAGCACCACTTCAGTAACTGGATAATTATTAAATAGAATAGTGGAACTGATGCAAGCTGCAAATCTGCACTGACCTGCTCAATAGCCTGCTGATAAACAGGAGCCATGTGTCTTTCTACCTCATTGACTGATTGAGATCGCATGCTGGTTGTGGCACAAGCATTACCACACATGTCTGACAGTAATCATCAGACACAGAGCAGCATAAATACATCAAAACAAAGGTTGATTGAAATCAGTTAGACAAGGTCCCATCCCCCACCCCTTCTTGCTTTACATTAAAGGGGAACAATCACCATTGGATTTCAAGAAGGTTGTCACAGTGACAGTTAACATAAGCAGCAATCTCTATTAATAACAGAGCAGAGCAGTTTGCAAAACCGGCTGGATTTGACTAACTAAAGTGTCAGGCTGCATACTGGAATCCTTGAGGAACCCTGGCATAGATTAAATAATTCACAAGAGCTCAACTATGCAGAGGTTTGCAAGGTAAGCATATGAGCAGGAAGTTCAGGATTAGCCATTTCATTCCCAGGTCATGTTTAGCGATAAGTGCCTTCCTGCACAATCAAAAACCTGTTTAGTGACAAAGACACTTCAGGAGAACATTTTACAACACGGATAACTCTGCATTACATTTGTTAATAAGGCTATTGGCTGTGACTTCTAAATCCTCCTTGGGAAATTTAGCTATAAACATCCTCATCATGTGGTGGAAAAGATCAAACACAGATGATTATCTGCTCTCATTTCTAGAACAAAGCAGGTGCTGTTTTGTTGCCCCAAAATCTAGCAGTGGCGAGAGGGGCTATATTAATACCATCTCCTACACGTGACCACTAGTTCTAAGTGAAATGCTAATGCCAACACAAACACTACCGCTTAGATGTCTCGGATAAGACAGGAAGAGACTGTCATAAGACCTGTCTACATGTAAGACTATACTGTAAAACATACAGTGCATCTTATGCATTTATCAGATGGTGTATGTATCATCTACTGGCTTGAAGAAATATCTCAAATCGTCAACATACTTCAATTGCACTAACTGATTTGACTATCTTTTCCATTCCCTTGGTCAATTGCTGAGATATTGATGCTTGCAAATCAATCAATGAACCAATGTCTGACAGTATTTCACCAGAGGGAAAAGGCTAACAGACAGCTGAGGTGTTTCCCATATCCCTATACATTCACATGTCCATTTGCCATAAATATGGCATCCCTGACAGCTCTGTGTATCCTGTAACACATCACCACAGACAGCGCTCCAGTATGACATAAGCCCAGTAGCTTTAAATCACATTAAAAGGGCCAGTGTTCACAGAAACACATCCTGTGGACAGAGTGTGATTACACTGTGGGTGCTCGAGAGACCAACGGGACAACATTGGATGACAGAGTGCGCAGGATGCATTCGTCTTGGAAAGTATCCACCTTGCAGAAGTGTTCTCAACTCAGTCACCAAACCAGATCTTCGTGTACTGCTCTGTAACTTACTCTGACGTTTCACCTCCCTGTGTGGTGTGGCAAATGACTTCTCTATCTTTAAAGACACTGTGCAACTCAGATACAGTAACTGTATCAAAGGGTTTACCCAAGTCTGGGAGAGTTTCATGTTGTATACCAGTAACAGGACTTCTTTTCTCTTGAGTAAACACTAGTAGCAAGGAAACATCCTTCTCAAGTCCTTGTCCCTTGTTGACTCACTTGTACTAAATGATTTGGAGAGGATGAGTCATTCAAATAGGATTTCAGTATGATCCAAGGAGCTTTGTATCTAGGTGGAGCTAACATGCTAAAAAAATACAAATTTGAAACATGCAGGTGGTTTGGTTTCACTGCTAGAAAAAAAATGTCAGGAGAGAATACAAACGAGAACTGATGACTAAAACGAGGAATGTTTAAGCCGGATCATAAGCTGATGGAAAAATTAAAAATCGAATATGCATCATCCCCATGAACACGGCAATTTGTATTAGCAAGTTTCTCTCCCGAGCTTACAAACTGGTCAGTCAAGAGTCTTATTCCAATGTAAAGGCAAAAACTAATTTGAGTCATCCTCTACGTGATCTGTCAAGTCATCTGTCAAGGCAACTACAAAGCAAGATCATAAAGGACATCCTTGCCAAACCACTTTTCCTTCAACTTGATGGAAACAATTATGCATAAGCCTTACAAAAGATCATAAGACACTGTTTTGGTAATGAACAGTCAAATATCTAGTCTAATACAATAAATGTAAAAATATGAATAGGCCTATATGTGCCAGTAACAGTAAAATATTTAAGTACTTCTTGACATCTACGACCTATAACCAGTATATTAGAGCATGTATTGATGAGAATTTATGCTGGTTCTAAACAATGTTATTATGAAAATACATAAAACAACATCATAATGTTAATGGAAAGATCAAACAGGGCAAGAAATTGTGGGGATGGCATGATACCCTCTCATTTGGTAGAGGAGAGTTCTGTGTTTTCTTGACAAATTCAGTTCAAATTAGCTTTATTGGCATGAATGTATAACAACAATATTGCCAAAGCATCATACAAACTATATAAGAACAATCAACCCCATACATTTCACTAAACAAGTAAACTGACTAAAGAATTCAGAAAAATAACTGCTGCAGCTGTTTTCTTTAGCATTTGTAAATAGCTTTTTCATTTTTGGAGACGGTTATCTTTACACTACTGTAAACTGTATTCTGTGCACTTGTTCTCCTAGCTTCTAGCCATGAAACATTTTTTTGCATGCCAACATGGAGTAAGTATTTTCCGTACAAGCCTATAAGCAGCTTTCAGATTATCATGATTGATGATGGATTCATTTTAGGGTAACCTATATAAAACTGGAGATCTATTTTGATGTTTTTTTTATGTCATTAGGCCACTCTCCCATTAAAAGCTATCTCTAACTTTTAAAGACTCCTCTATCTGAATAAAGACCTGAGATGTACACAGTGTGTGGTTCATGTATAAATCCATATTGTAGATTAAAATGTTGCCTATTCAGGACAAGATGACCCGGTCTGACTTCCACTATTCTATCTGTGGTTCTACCCAGCTGAGTGATGTCATCTTGACTTGGCAGAGAACCTGCATCAGTTGAGTTGATTAAGATAAAAACTACACATCAATAGACTTGGTCCTCAAGTTCCTGTAGCTTGGCATGAAGAGTGACTTTGACCAAAGGGCGTGGTTAAGGTGCTAAACACAGCACACAGAGGCTGCAGCAGGCTATAGTTCTGGACATAAGGCCTGCCTCGGAACATGCAAGTCATGTTAAACTAAAATCGATTTTTACCCAATACCCATTTCCAGCCGAAAATAAGTGAAATTTGTTATTAAAACTTTTACCATTAATATCTGAGTGTTTATTGACAACATACTAATACTGCCCTATTATCTGGCTGTTAAAAATGTGCCCAAGATTACTTAGAAAACAGTGTCCTGTGTGTACTTTATATAAATAAAGTTTAAATGAATAAAGAGGCATGTCTTCAAGCCTTTTTCAAGCAGCACTATTTTGGGGTTTTCTTCATAAGATACGAGACTGGTTATCGCTGACGCCGTTGAGAGACTTGTCTCAAGGCAAAACTATGTCTTATGATAAGTAGGCTCTATTAAAAAAATAATAATAATCATCATCATCATATTCTTAGGTGGGTGTGTTGTGCATCATAGAGGCTGGTTCTCACAAGCGCCTCTTTAGGTTTGTTGACTGAGGAAGAAACCCCCTGACAAATTGTGAGGGTATAACAGTCTATTCACTCAGTGCACAATGAGCTATTGGACGCATCCATTTGATCCTGACTGTGAATTGCGGAAGAAAGTGGTGTTCACATTGGCTACTGGCTGTCATCACGCAGAGGGAAGAAATGGTAGGCTTCTGAAAATCATCTACGCCGCCCCATATGCCATGCCTGTGTAACCGGATTAAAAACATACCCAGTAGCCTGAAATTTGTGACTGAAGCCTGGCGGCTAGAAATACGACAAAATGGGTTAGCGTGATAAGGCCTAGGGAGGAGGCCCATTTCTCTGACACACACTTACCTAGAATGTGACCACACATTGAGAACAAATGACATGTGTCAGAGTCAAACAAATGCATACCGTGCATGGACCCCCTTTCATATGCTGCTCTTTGTGCTGAAAATCGCTGAGCTATACAGACACTGTAGTTTCCCTACATGCATGTGCTTCGCTACTCTGCTGAACAGAATATAAATATAATGTTGGCCAACAAAAGGATGATGGTCTTCATACGACCTTTCTAAACAATATGAAAAGTCAATAGGCCTCAATCCGAAACTAAAAACCTACCTGCACTGCCGTAGGACTTTGCCAATAGCCAGCCGACACTTGCGCATATTTTTGCTTTAGTACAGTCATACAAATCCAATGGCTTTATGTCTGGGACCACAAAAGTCTTCCTCATGGTAGGAGAGTCCACCATAGCGAGTCTGTAAAAATGGGAAGCGTTGCTGGCAAAAAAAGGCTACAAGACAGTATAAAAATATTCAAGCAATCATTCTTTTAGAGGACTATTTCTCACGACCGGGGCTGGGAATACGAATGTGGGTGACGGTTTTGTCGGGAAAATATCCGCCCCGGAGATACTTCCAAGCCAGTTATTGTCCTTTTATGTGTGGTTTCAGAGACGGAACCCCTGTTAAATGATGCCTCACGACCAAGCAAAGCCCCGACTCGCCGGGTTGTTAGAGAAAACCGGACTATTCCCCTCGTTTTTGCCCTTCTTCGTCCGCATTGCTGTGTAGTCCGTTCACTGTACGCAGCTCCACTGAGAGCCCCGCAGATGACTGACTACAAGGTGCTCCACACTGGCATTCACTCACTCATCCCGCCGTCCAATAGAAATGGAGATAGAGCTCTGAGGGCGGGACCTCCCTGTGTGAACACAGACAGCAGGTAAAGGTCTGGTTTGACTTTTGCTACAGGTTCATCTGCTGGCGCGCCCACACACAGGTGAACGCGTGAAGGGGCACCTTTTGAGTGGGTTACACAGCTAAGTGACCTAACAATAGAAATATTACCGTGACAACTGTAGCCTATAGATTTAATACTTACATATGTATTACATAGTGGTATATTAATATTTTATATGGTGGCGGAGAAAATATTCAGTGCCTTCATTTAAGTAAAATAGCAATACCACAAAAACATGAGCTAAATGTACTTAGCATTGGATATACCATATATATTTATTATATCTGACTTAACCTGTTGTTACTTTATTGTCTGGTCTTTGATATAGGCGATTGGTTTTCGTGGCTGTTTAATAGGCTTAGATGAAGATATATTCACAAAATAGCCTTCATTTTAGTTTCTCGCACATGAAAGGCTGTAACAATGTGGATCTACATATAGCGTCATTAGGCTTTTACCTTCTTTGGTTATAACTGTCTCAGGTGGATAACCTTGGTACAAAACCATAAAACATCAGCCCTACTGCAGTGACCTGGGCAAACTCCATCAGTTCGGGGGTGCTGCTTTAAATGACACTAACTGATCTCTTGCAGATGAAAAACAAAAAGAGAAGTTCAGACCTAAGATTATGCTATTTTAAATCTATTTATTTTAATTACCTTTCTTTTCTTTTATATACCAGAAAGGGAAGGCATTAAACCCAAATGGTCTGACAAACCTGTTTAGATCAGAACCATTCATATCAGCTACTGATCAAATAATAGAGTTAATGTCTAGTATAGATTAGCAGCATAGATCAAAAACATTCTTACTGCACCTTAAAAGCAGCCCTGCAGTACATGCAAAAAGGCTGCACTGAAAGGGTAAACATACTAGTACTCGTTTCCAGGAGCACTATCCATATTGGAAAACAGACATCTAAAGAGTGCCACATCACATGATGTTGCTCAAAGTTCCAAATTCCAAGCACTTGAAGTGCACCAATGCAGTAACTTTGTAAGATGATTACCTCTGTTATTTTAATCTAATTATGAAACACTTTCTTCCTAACTAGTACTAGTAGTACTGTCAATTTAACATTTATGATGGATTAGCGACATTTAAAAGCACGAGGCCTTTCCCATTAAATTCTTAAATAGATATACATCACATTTAATCTGGAAAGTTATTCCCCCACGCTACATGGATTGCACACACAGCATTGGAGCACAATTTAAATGGGTTTGTGATGTCTAAATAGGTGTTTTGCAACAAAAACACTTGAATGCTTAGCTCCTGTTTCAACAAAATATTCCTTTTAAAAGAAACCAAACTCCTACCCACTGTTTTCTGGGGCAGTTTCCTCTGCCAGATAAAAGTCACTGCATTTAACATGGATTTAAATCCATTTTTATTACAACTGCGTTCTCAAGATAATGTAAAGTTTCTGATATTGTAAGAGACGAGCTTGTCACAGCCAGAATAGCAGGTGCATAATTCACAAACACTGCAAACCTATGCAGTGCGGCAATAGTAAAACTTCCAAAAAAAGTTGTAACCTGTCAGACTGCATTGTGTCACGCATTGCATTCACACATTTTTCATCATCATTACCTACAGCCTTAAAAATGATCAGTGGGCCAAGTGAACACCCACATTTATAACAAAAAAAACCAGGACATGTTTTCAAAATGTTTACAGCCCTCCTATTATTCAGTCAGTGGTATGAACTGTTCCTTGAGTGTACTTACACTATGTACAACTAGAGCACAATTTTAATATTTGAGCAATGACATACTGTAATCAAGTTATGAAATCTTTTTCCTGATCCTAAAGCCAACAACGTGAGTCTTGAACACTCAGCTCCAGTTTTAAATGAATGCCCTGTTTAAGAAACTATGCTCCTCCCCTGTGTTGTTTTAGGGCAGCGCTTCCTGTCAGAGAAACATTTTGTAGGTATACAAAGGTGTTTTTACTGTTAATTTGTTTACAAAATGTCAAACTACATTAGACTTCAGTTATCACATAACCTCGTTAGTATTTCATAACAGAAAATTGCACATTGGCACAATTATCTTGAGCTTCAAACTTGAGAAAGACTGACACCATATGGCCAATACCAATACAGCCTCACTGTATACTGTCCTACAAACAGTGACTAAGAAAACACATAAAAAGGCAAAAATGCTGTTTTTTACGTGTTATATATTCTATTAAAGTAAAGTGGACACAACTGAGCATTCACAGAAGTTAAAAAATTGAGCCTATTCAATGTCTACAAGAGAAATCAGAAGACTGATGTGATTGCATTTTTGGAAATATAATTTTCAGTCATCTTTCAGCCCTCCAAAGACAGCTGTGGGGACACTCTTCTGTTCAAGCTGCACCTCTGGAAAGGCCAAAAATGAGAAGACAATTAGCACATGCATGCTCATGAATTAATGCTTAAACAAACACCAAATGTTTCTGTTTTACTGCTGTCACTCACCCTCTGGTCCCTGGTTTTCATCATCCTCATCGTCATCATCATCAATGTCGATCTCATCAGGATTGGCTTGTTTGGAAAGCTCAGCCAACTCACTGCGAGAGGTGTCACTCCTGCCAAGGCAGATGCAGAGAATGAGGAATCGAGCTAGTTTATTTATCATTATACAACACAAGTTTGTTGCCCTTCATGCTACACACAGAACTTAAATAATATGTATATTAAAATAAGGTAACATAAAAAAAACTCTGCAATGCATCTTCTGAATTTGCGTGTGTGGTGAAAGTAAACAGCAGCAACTGTGTTTGACCACCAGAGTCTGCCTCCTCTTATCTTGCCGGAGTCTTGCACTTTGGCAGCTCAGAACACAGTCTGACCAGCAAGCACTTGACCCGGGGGTTGTTGATGTGTCTCTGTGTCTTTTGCCACATGTAGTCCAATTTTATAAAAAGGCATAACTTTTCACAGATTCTTTTCACTGGAGTAAAAAATGACAAAAGACAAACCTGACAAACAGAATCTTCTCTTTGGGCTTGGGTTTGTCTTGCTCAGCCTGTGCAGCAAGCTGCTGTGCTTTCTGCTCCAGCATCTTCATGTCATCAATTCCCATTTGGCCTGGAGCAAGATCTGACACTGGACACGAGATGAAACAAATGGTTGGACATGCACAAAAACATTAGCAAAAATATTTTAGTACATCAATTCTTGCCCTGTTCTGGGGTGTAACCTCAGGATTTGGGCCAAGTGTGTAGCATGTGTGGCTAACCATATCAATATAATTTCAAATATCTCCCCAATGTCATGGTACTAGCAATGGTACTACTAGCTCAGGATAGGCTTGTCTGCAGCTAACAAGTTTGTACAAGCTCTCTCACCGGTGCCTGTGGAGCTTGTTGTGGCCTTCAGCATCTGAGAGGACATAAAGTTGACCTGGGTGTTGTATGTGGCCTGGACACTACGTTTGATCCGTAGCATTTCTCTAATTGTGTCTTCATTTCCATGGCGGATCTCAAATTCTTTCCAGGTCTGCCAGAAATTAGCAGTCACCTGAAAGATCAAGTTCATAAATATTTCAAGAAGAATTATGATGTGCACATCTATGATGGAAATGTGATATTTTATTGAGACACAGGTAACAGCATGAGGTGGTTTTTCTCACCCTGGGGTCACAGATCTGGGAGCAGTAGGAGTAGATTGCTCTGGCCCGATCAATCTCACCCAGTTTGCTCTCCATGTCAGCAAAACGCAGACACATGTCCCTCGCATGCTCATCAGGAAGGACCTGGATACATAAAAAAGGTACAATTCAGATTGTAGTCAATAATATTCATAACGAATAGAACAAACTAACACAATGTATGTGTTATTGAAGCATTCCAGAATAGGCTTAAATTAGTGCATGCTAAGCTTTTTAAGGATTTTCTGACAAGAACAAACCAAATTCAAAACATGTTGTAATTTCATCAACGCTTTTATCATGTACCTCAATAGCTTTCTGGTAAATTGCTCTGGTATATGTGACTCCATAAATTTCAGCTGCTCTCTTTATGTAGATATTAAACATGTGATGTCTCTCATCAGCGTCCACTGCCTGCGTTGCTCTTTCATAGACAGCCATGGCGTGTCGTGCCAATCCATATCCCTCCTCCAATTTGGCATACAACAGGTAAATGGCTGGAAAGCAAGGCACATTTGGTTTCAGTACATTTCCTAAAGCAAAAAAGTTGGCAATGTAATTCTAACAAAGCTACTTACTCTTAGCAAACTTGGGAGGGCAGCCATCCAGGGCTTGTTCAAATAAATCTCTAGCTCTCTCCAGCTTCTTGCCCCCATAACGATCAATGAACTTGGTGAGGTACGTGTTCCAGATGTCATACACATTTGGCCACCGGAAGAGAGCGATGCCACGCTCATATGCCTAAAAAGGTTTTGACAAAAACATTAAAGGATTCTATATACGGGTGGAGTGTTGACCAAAACAAACACATACTGACAATAAATGTTCATTATGTTGATTAGTGGCAGGTTATTACTTTGAAGCTTTCCTCAAAGTAGTTGTGCTCTTCAAGGAACATGGCATAATTGATGATGATCTGTGGCGTGGCGATGCGGAGGTCAATAATGCGGTCATACACTGCTTTTGTAGACTTGTAGGAGAAAAAAAAGGAAGAAGAATTAGACTAGTAAATATATACACAACTCACAGAGATGAATGACAGTTTTAAAAACACACAAAAGCACAAAGTGGATCAGTCTTCTAAGACCAATCCTAAATATCTCAGAGTTTACCTGCCATGTAATTAAGGCTGCACCTAACAATTGTTTTGTTTTTTTAAACACACATTAGAATAATGATAATAGAAGCGTGTTTTAAAATAAGTCAAATTTTCTAGTCAAGTCTGT